TCGAGCCGGAGATAAAAACATCCGTCTGACCTTTTTTACGGTCACAAACAACGTCACTGGATGGATTTCAGAAGAAGCGGTGAGCGGGACGCCGGGCCTGTGGCGCTGACCACGCAGCCGCTATGCTGTCGCAGCAGGAACACCCAGGAAGCGGCCTGATGACATGCTGGGGGGGGGGGGGTTAATAATTCCCGGGATGTATTTCTGCTTTCTGACCCGCGGTGCAAAGTGAATTAGACAAAAAGCATTGAGTGCGGCTCCTTGGACGAGGAGAGATAGCGGAGGACGTCGTCCTCACGCCTGCGCTTTGTTTGGAGACGATGGGCTCTGTTGTGTAACTGCTTGTGCTTCCACACTTGATTGCATGTGCATTTCAGGAACTGCTGATTGGAATCTAATTTTATGCATTGATCTGTAAACGGTCTCTGTAATGTATGCACGAGAAGCTCCACTTCGCCTCTTACAATTAGAGACTCGCTGGAATGTTTAAGGCGATTAAATCACTGATGGCCACCAGAGCGCCGCTTAATGAGCAGCTATGCAGGAATAATTCTGATGAGCTGCTATTTGCATTTTGAGTTGGTGAACAAGCACAGAATTCTTATTTCTACATTCTCTTTTAACCGTCACCTCACTGGCATTTGTGCTTCAGAAACGGATTAAAACGATTAAATTCTTGTCCAAATATTCCTCTCGGAGACTTTTATTATTGTTTGGTATTAAATCGCCGCGGCCTGCAGCGTAGCAGACGTTTCCGTTATTTCTTCAGTGTTTGTGGTCTCGCAGCCCAATAACACCTACCAACTAGGAGATTGCACCAGGCGGGGGGGATAAAGTCGCCCCCGAGTGTAACCTCCAAGCTGCAGTGTTTGCTCTCCGAAAGGAAGAATGGCCGCCTTTATCTGCGCGCTGATTAGCGGCGAGGGTTTGTTGTGGAGCAGCAAATGTGTGCCGATTCATTTCCTCAAGGTCTGCTGAGAAAAAAAAAAAAAAATACCAAACCCCCCCCCCCTCTCCTCCCTCCTCCTCCTCCAGTGCAGCCCACACGTGGGGAGATTACATCTTTTATTTATCACATCGCAGCTCTATTTTTCCAGCAAATTCCAGGCCGGGATGCAATCAGCCAAGAAAGAAACCCTCCCTGTGTGTGTGTGTGTGTGTGTGTGTGTGTGTGTGACGGTTATTTCTCTTTGTAAGCATCCCGATTTCCCCCCCCCCCTCTCTGGGATAACAACTCAGAATCTGTTTCCCAATATGTGGGGATATATTAGTCATGTTTATTTATGGAGGGCCGAGACCGCGGTGTGTGTTGTGTGTTGTGTGTGTGTTTTTATTCCCCCTGGGCCCTTCACAAAACCATGGTGTGGAGGGGAGTTGTCGGTACTTGGCGTGGGGCGTGTCATGCACTCACATCCAGTGTTCAGATTGCATTGCGACTCAAATTAACCATGCGGCGTAATGGGATTACAGCTCTTAACGCTCTCTCGGGTCGGCTCACAGGTGACGGGGCCTCAGACACCCCCCCTTCCTCCCCCCCCCCACCCACCGGCTCAACGCCACACCAGCCGGGGTTACACACAGACGCCAAGAGAAAAGGACACAAACCTGAACCGACTGGCTGCGAGCGGGTGTTAAAAAGAGCCGCGGCGCTTCCTCCTGGACTCGCCCGGCGGGTGAAAAGAGGCTTTGTCTGCTCGGCCCCTCCGGAGGCGACAGGAAGCTTGGAGGACACGACTGAACGTGGAAACGGGAAGAAAGTGCCACAGCTCAACGGGAGTGCCGACCATTCGATGCGTTTGGCGAGTAATTTGAATGTGAAAGAGGGGCCGGGGCCACGAGGAGCCAGATGAATGGTGCACTTGGAACAAATGTGGGTCGTGGATGTCGTCGTCGTCGTCGGAGTAAAGTTGCTCTTGTTTAGCGCACGCCTGCCTGTTCCTGTTTCAGTCAACAGGGGGAAAAAAAACTCCCCTCTGTGGCTTTAAACAAACCCGACATGCGGCGACTGGAAGGAGCAGAGAGGCTCGTGTGATGGTTTTATTCTCTGCGTTCCAGTAACAGCACACCGAAGATGCACTAAATATACACCCGCCGCGACAACGTGAGGCTGCATATTTGACTGCCTTCCAACTCGCTAATTCATTAGTCTGCTGACCCAACAAATATGTGCGCGCACAAAAGACACAACGTGCATAAACAAGCACCTGGACGCACAGAACAAGTCATTCAAATGCGATGTGTGTCAGTTGACACCCAACCCAGCTCTGCCTATTACCCAACAGAGAACAGCGATATAATGATGCTCAAGCATGTGACAGAACATGTTCTCACATAGTAAGGAGGTTTTAATAAACTTTTTTTGGGGGGGGATTTCTCGTGACTTTATTCCGAAAACCAGCTGGGATAATCTTACTTTAGTGTCACAAAGTAACGGCTGAATCTCCCATTAGCTTAATTCATTAACACCTCTGGAAAGCCTCCGCAGACATTAGAGATGGTTATTTATTCCTCATTCTGGGGAAGTTTCTCCATGACGTCTGGTGGTGTTGAGATGTTGAAATCTGGGGATTCTTTTGTTGATGCCACAGCTTGATTTTCAACGCAATTAAAGGCTTTTTAAAAAAAAAAAAAAAAGCTTTGTACCCTGCATTTTACATTCAAACTGCCCCCGAGCACAACGGGATTTAAATGCCCCAGTCACACATTCCCATTCATGCGGGCAGCAGATTTAAAGCCCCATTGTGGGCTCTCCTGCGCCGCCGGACCGCTTCACCCTTTTGTTGTCAACCCCCGTCACTTCATCCACCTCCACCCGAAATGGAAGCGCGCGTCGCGTGGTTTTTTCCGGGTGCGTGACTCGTCCGGGGACGTTTCCGTCGCATCACTCACCGACTTGCAGCACGTTGTCCACGCAGCCGCTCTCCAGCAGAGCGATGCCCCGCCGGAAGGGTAGCCGCGTTTCGTCGCCGCTCTCCCCGCCGACGCCGACCTCCTCCCCGCCGGTGTTGAACGACGAGTACATGCAGATCTCCCGCTCGCTCCTCGGGAACGACCAGTAGACGATGCGCCTCTGGACGGGCTCCGGGATCCGCTCGAAGCGCTCCTCCACCCGCTGGAACGGCCACTTCTCCGCGACCCGGCGCGCCGCGATGTCCAGCAGGGTCTCCGGGTTCCGGGTCTTGCTCGAGTCGCTCTGCGCGGCCTCGGAGCCGCACGTCGCCCTCGCGGCTCGCTGGCTCTGCTCGACACGCCGCGTTGTACTCCGGTCTACAGCAGAGCTGCTTGGCCGGGGGCTGCTGTACGCGCTCCGCCATGGTAGCTCTGTTTTGACGGCGACGGAGAAGTGAGGGCAGCGCCAGGCACGGACGGGGAGGAAGAGGTTACTCGCCGCTCGCTCGCTGCTCGTATGGCTCATCATCTTTTAGCAGCATGGGGGCGGGGCTTGCAGGGGCTTGTCAATCCCTTTGTGACAAATGAGAGGAGGCGGGGGCTTGTCCGGGTAGCTCGATGCTAACAAAAAAACATAAAAAAACGACCGGATGTCGGAATCCCCCGCACGGCCGTGAATCCCTTTTGTGAGCTCCGAGACCACAAAGAAACGGCCCCAGAAGCGGAAGGGAACACCGAATGTTCGCCCGGGTTCGGTTCTAGCCGTGTCGGCCGTCCACTCAAGCGGAGCGACGCGCTGCTTCGTGGGCCGGCGGCGAGCAGCGGGAGCCGGAGCGATCGGGCCTGTCAACACCGGAGCCTCGTGCGGGTCTGGGGGAGGAGCCGCGGGGCGGCCCCGCCCGTTTAAAGGGCCCCTGGAATGTGCAGCCGTTTAAAGTCACACAACTGGCTGAAAGGCAAGAATTATTAGTACATCCTGCATTGACGTCAACGTGGTACATGTTCTTAATGAGCTGCTTTGCGTGTCACACACACGCACACACACACACACGTATATACACTAGTTTAACACCCAGGTCCCAGGGGGGTCAAACACCAAATCCAGGGGGGGCAGTTAAACCACTTAAGGACATTTATGACACATTATACCATCTTCTCACTAGTCACCGGGAGGCTGAGTAGGTGAGATTATGCAAGACTACTCAATATACTTTGTCTGGAGGACTTAAGGACGCTCCATATAGTAATCATCATAATGTAGCATCATTTAGCGTTGTTCTTTTCAGCCTTTCCAGTGCCTTTACTTTAGATTCAGTACATTCAGCTGGTGATACTACCTTTGCTAAGTAATGTTGTATTTTCACACTCGGGTGTTGCTATTTGTACATAAGCCAAGTGTCACTTCTTCATTCATTTAGAGTTGTGTTTGTGGTCCCCTGACGGATGCAAAGCCAACGGTCCCCATCCTTTTAGCTCTGGCTTGGATCTCCACCAACTAGCTGGATAAGTTGCAGCCTTTTCACTGGTGAGTTTGGTGCCGGACAGTGAGAAGGTCCGTCGTCTCAAACACCTTCCTGCTGCCGGAACCGCCAGGTGGATGAGCGAGAGAATCATGACGTAAATGGAGCTAAAGGGGCTTAAAGCTGGTGCCGATTCTCTGCGGCTTCTTCCCCCGTCACGCCAAGTAGTTTTGATTTGGTGTTAATGTGATAAATATTGATCAGTGGAGCTTTAAGGGCAGAGGAGCTAATCTGGTCCCACTGGTGCTTCATAGCCGGAGGGGAAAGCTAAAAGGAAAAACGGTGACGTACGACGGTTAAAACCGAGGAGCTGTTTGGTTCGATGGGGTTCAACAGATGGACGTGAGGGAGAACGATCCACCGGCAAGGAATCACACATTCAGGTCCTTTGGTACATTTAAAGTACAAATACCACACTGTTTAAACACTAAACTACAAGAAAAACTAAAGCTGCTTTAGTACAAATGTAGTAAAAAGTATGAAATGTACCCCTGTAGTACAGTTTCTCCTCACATGTTGTCCCCATTAGATGCTTTCTTCGTATCAAACAACCCCCCCCCTCTGAAGTATGTGTCATTCTGTGTGTTTCTGTCCAGGGGAACGTTGGTGATTTCAAAGCGTTGGTGCATGAAAACCGGCTCTGGTCCCGTGCTACCGAGCACCACCTGCTGCGGCTGCAGGATGGAGTCATCAGCGGCTACGTCTCGTCGCCCACAGCTCCATACCGGGGAAACGATTCAGGCCCCCCCACCCCGTTTAAAATCCGTACCATTGTCTCATGTCAGCCCGCAGACAGCGCGGTAATGACTGAGCCCATTCACGCCGCGTGGGGCGAACAGCAGGGGGGGATGGAGGGAAGACACACACACACACACACACACACTCTCCTGTGATGCATTTAAAGGCTCTGGTCTTTGCGTAGCGCTGAGGCGTCTCAGTTATCTGATGAAACACACAAACAAACTACTGCATTATTGCCACGAGCATCATCACCACACGGTTCTCAAACTCGTCACCACGTGATGAAACGCGGTGAACGTCAGAGCGAATTCCGCGCTTGTTTTGCTGCAAACAGGAAACGGCTCCATCGGGTTCACGGCGCCTCATTAAAAGCAACGACACAGGATGAATTGAGTCTCTTCTTGTTGCTGTTACTTTGCCACGGCGGAGTCACAACGCTTAATGTGTGTCAATTAAAAGGTAAGAGAAGGAAACCAATCAGCGTGTACACGCTGAGCCGGCGCCACAGACGGAGACATGTGGGACGAAGCCTGAGCGTTAAAGAAGAAGAGACACCCCATCACGTCAATTCATGTTTGACGTTGGTGAAAAATAAATTGGTTTGATGCTAAAACGATGTAAAACATTACGGCTGCTTAGTATCAGCATGCTAGCTGTTATCGTTAGCATTTAGCATGCTAGCATTTGGCCTCACAGAGCTGCTGTCATGGCCGCTCACTCTAAGAGCCAAAGGAAACCTTTAAACTAACCAAGGAGCACAGTGTGTGTTGACAACATCGTGTCCAAATGTCTACTTTGATAGCGACGTCCCAGATGGTGATCAGTGTCCCTGCACAGCGTCCACGTGTTGCCGTTAAAGAATATTACTGCATTTAATGCTACAAACATTAACGCGGTGACGAGTTGGTAGCAGGTTCTTAGATCCTCGTGAACCTTCTTTCCATCGAGGCAACGCTGCTTTTGTTTGAGACTTTATGTTAAAACATACAAACCAGCTATTCTCTTTCAAATGTGCTGATTTTCATGCCTTTCCAGTAATGTTGTTTCACTTTCATTCTGACGTGTCAGAGTCAAATATTTTTACAGATAATTTTAGACACGTCAGCTGACGTGTTACGGAGGCAAAATAACCCAAAGTCTCTCCCCTGATCGGAAATAACACCGTAATACCACGGCCCGGTAACGCGACCCGTGTTTAATGTAAGTCCATTTAAGCCATGCAGCATTTCTTGCAACACACAACATCATATGTAAAAAAACACACTATTGAGGTATTCAGGCATGAAGAATGCTTTAAGACTCACATTAACATGATTTCCATGGATGGACTCTCGGCTCAGCTAAGAAGGCTAGAGCGGGGTGATAATGACACTACGGCTCACTCCTGGGGATAATCTCACACACACACACACACACACACACACACACCACAAACCAGAGTATCCTTTCACGCTGGGCTCATTTACATTCTCATCAGTATGCATGAAATTTCTCGCTGAACTTTAATACCCTAACTGCTGCATAATACACTTTAATGAGCATAAAAGTGAGCATGACAATTAAAACTTGCATTAATCACTGAACACTGAGGGCGGGGATGAGATGAGGGGGGGGGGGGGGGGTACCCAGGATTTGGGGTGGATGATGAGTAGACTGGGAGGGGTGGAGAAGCTGAAGTGGGAAAAGGAAGAAGGGTGGAGAGTGGAGGGCATGAAGAAGAGAAGTGGTGGGGAGATGGTGGAGGCGTCACCACGGGAACGGAGGACGAACAAAGTGGTTTTATTTCGTGCGCTGTTTTGAATTTTATTTCTCATCCTTTGTTCCTCTCTTACAGACCAACAGATGATAACAATCAAACTGTTTTTACACGCCCCCCCTTCCTCTTTAACACACATGATTTGGAAGTTATGAATGTTGTCATTTAGATACCTCAGACCCCGTTCCCTAGAAAACAATATGGCTCACAAATGTAATTCCCTCCTCTGATCGCTCTGCGTGCCATCCAGAGCAAAAGAAGTCACCTTGAGGGCGAGTAATGCAGATGTTTAAAGGTGGTTACTGACGTCTGCGGCTGAGACTCGTACAAAGAGGACGCAGTCGTCCGCACGTCGCTCATTGGTTCCTGCGCTAACGTTTTGAAGCCTAGAGATCGGCCTTCCTCCGTCGCCATCTTGGATTTCGGCAAACCAGTGAACGGAAGTGACCGCGTACATGTCTGATAGGTGATAGAGACCCGTCAATCACAGTGTAGCCCCGCCCCCCTGGTGCACATTAGAGAGAGTGCAGCTTTAACACACAACGCTTTGGCTTTAAAGTATAAAACTACTCCAGCACTGTGAAGGACAGTAGTTAGTGTTTTATGGACAAAGCAGCGAGGTAACCAGGAAACACAAGTTGATGACTAAAAAGGGGTATATGTTTCTGCAGAAATAATTATACTTTTATTGATGTGACTCATCTGAATACTTCTGACGAAATAAATATTCACGTGCAGCCAACACATATGAATCATTTGCTGCTTAAAATACAGTATTAATGATGTTTTCTTTAACATGTTAATAACAGCAATTAAATATCAAGACGTCTTCACGCACACACACACACACACACACACACAGCCCCATAATCAAATCCCCATTTTCCTTGCAGAGTTGACACATTTCTTAGTGTTCGACCTCCTTTGTCCTCCCTTTAGACAAACTGAGAAGGGTGTGTGTGTGTGTGTGTGTGTGTGTGTGTGTGTGTCAGCAGGAGTCTTAATAAAAAACCCTTCTGAATTTCCATAAATCAGAGAGGCAGGTTTGTTGTCACCCAGTCGAGGGGCCCGAGAGTGAGGCCTCGGGGCCTGTAGGGATTATAAGAAAGTCTCTCACTATGTTTATGTGTGTGTGTGTGTGTGTTTCTGTAACGGCGCCCACAACTCATGGGCGGCCCTGCATGCACTTAATGTTTAAAACATATAGCGCCCTTTCTCATATTCTCAGTCTCCTTTGCTGTCATGCAGAACTCTGCTGCCCACTTCTTCATGCACCTCTAGCCTTGATACCTGCAGAATATATTTAAATAAAGACGTAACTTAGTGCCAGAGTATGAGGAGACATAATGACCAATTTACCAGAAGAGACATGCGGCTAAAAGCAAGGACAGGACACACGGGTACATGTGCACACACAGCTGACCAAACAAATGTAGACAAATAACCAAAGCAACAAGGGAACTATGAACAAAGAGATGTCACAACAACTTAAGTGTTTCTGTAATTTTTAATGATTTTTTTGGTCCCGGTCGTACGACAAAATTTTGGCTTTTGTCGCCATCTTGTTATTTCGCAACCAGTGAACAGGAAGTGGAAGGAAATTTACTAAATGAACATCATGCTGTCTGGAAGAAGCTTTGATTGAGACCATAAACTACAATGTTTACTGAGGGAACAAACCAAGAGAGACGAGTCATTTTCTTATAGACGTCTATGGGAGCAGAGGAGTCGCCCCCTGCTGGTCACTACTGAGAAGTCATTTTCTCGTAGACTTCTATACAATATATACAATAGATTTAGGGATAGTTACGTATTAGCTTGACTTAGAACCAGACTTTGGTATTAGTGTGCTAATATTTGCTAAAACACAGATGAAGCTGATAGGAATGTTTTTATCGTGGCCATAAATGAGTTCTTCAGTGCAAAAATTAATCCTGATTAGTACGTTTGAACACCATAACCTGCATGCAAACCGTCACCACTAACATCCCACGACACATTTGAATGTGTCATTCAACATCAACACCAGCCGATCGATCGCTTATAAAATCTGATCGTGGAGATGCGCCATGTTGCAAACTTTCTATAAACACCGGCTTCTTCTGCCAAATATTAATGCGGCTTCAACCACAAGACGCAGCCTCAGACATTCAAAATGACCATAATCCTCAATAATTCATGCCGTGATGCTAATATAACATTATTAATATAATCATAATGCAATCTATGTACCAGACATGATGTTTAAAATGAGCTGTCCATCTGAATAATTCATTGAGGGGCTGGTTAATAAATGTTTCAATCATCTGAACGCCTTCAAGATCTGTTAGTGTAACATTTTCACATCACAGACGAGCTCAGCCTTCTTACAGGTACTTTTACTCATCTTTGTATCTCATTTATTGAGTAACATCCAGCTCATTCACAACCGTTGCCATTTAATGCAGACTGAATGTAACTTAATTCCACATTAATCTCAAAGATTTATCCGCAGTTCCTGTTTTTATTTCCTAGTTCTTCATTGAAATAGTCGGTTAAACGGGGACAGATGACGAGACGGAGGGAGAGAAAAAAGAAACTGACCCAGAACCTGTGGGCATGTCATGCAGCAATTTAAATTAATTTGAGACTCCAACATGTCTCTGAGCCCATCACTTAACCCTCATCATCATTTATGTTCCTTTCAATTACACGAAGGCGTTTTAAACGATTATTAAACTGCAACCTCTTCTCACGAAACTTAATCAGAAAGTTTCAAAAAAGAGTTCTCCCCATAAGAGGAAAGCCCCCCCCCCTCAAAGATGCTCCTCCGAGGCGCCGTGCCCACCGGAGATAAAGACGGCGAGGGCGTCCCATGATGGATCCGCTGAAACTGATCCCCTGACAGGCCTGAGGGGGCGGGGCTCCGGTGGGAGGAGAAGAGAGCGTTTCTTTGTTGTTTGTTCGGCCTCTGAATAATAATTGTAATAATAATAAAAGAGCAAATAGGAGGTTTGGTACGCGTTTGGTATCTAACCAAACCAGGGGAGACGCTGCTCGACCATCCCCGAAAAAAGAGGTAAAAGAGGAAGAGAAGTGAAGTGGAGCACTGGGCTGCTCTCCCACGTGGACACGTCTCATATTTGCCACCATATATTTTTTTTAAATATTTTAATTGTGTTGCTTCAGGGTGGAAAAAAACAAATGACAGCCATGTGATTGCATTCAAATTCCCTGAATGTGATTAAAGATAAATGTGTAAAACGTCGGGGGGGTGAGGGGGGATTTAGCCCAGAATAATTGACAAAGCTGTATTATACCGCTGTAGGAACTATTCTGCCTTAAAATGCTCATTTCACTGTGCATGTGTTCTTTAACATTCAAGCATCTGAAAGATAATTGAAGGGCCTGAGCGCTGCTGAATATTTCATCCCCCCCGCCGCCTCTTTTTTTCCTTCTTCCAAATTTCCACAGTCTGAACGATGGCTTTTGCACCCAGAAAAAGAAGCATATGAATTTTTCAGCGTTTTAAATAATTAAGCCCAAAGTGTTTGGGGCGGCGGAGCCCTGATAAACTAATCTGAGACGGGGGAGGCGAGGAAAGGTCTGAGAGGGGGACATTAGAAATTTATAATTTTATCAGCAGCTATTTATTATTAACATACAGAGATCCCATTAGCATTCATAGACAAAGGGGCCCCTGGGAGGGAGCCCTGTGGATTTCAAGGTGAGACGTTAAAGTGAGAAGTCAGAGGAGGAGAGAGCGGCGGCTCCGGACACCGATCTGCATATCAGCAGACGTCTTTCGGGCCGGGGAGTCGCTGCCTTCCTTTTCTCAGGGAGGATTTCATGAGCGGTTTGGCAGATCTGGGGCGTGAAAATCAATCGGTCCGACACCACAAAGTCACGTACTAAATACTTCCCTTTGGGGGTCACAGGAAGGTTGCCACGTTCTAGGAATTTGGGACCTCTGGCGACCTTTGGGAGGTCAACACTCGATTTGTAGCAGTGAATTCGTACTTTTAGCCACAATGGGCTTTTAGAGCAACTTTGATCCACCGCTTTAATCCAGATTTAAATACCTCGCCAGCGAGTTTTGCATAATCATGTTCCCCAGAGGATGGATCCCAACGACGTGACATGAGTCACAGCTTGTTGTGGCCAGGAAATGGAATAATGCGGGTTATTTTATTTAAATGACACATGGCGAGGTATTCGGATGATTCCAGTATGGACTTTTAAAATTCAAGTGCGATGCAAAAAAAAAAAAAAAAACTTGCTTCCCGGCTTTGAAACCAAATTCAAATCATCGTGTTGGGAAATACATTTCACAGAAATTATAACAGAAAAAAAAAACATGAAAACCGCAGAATCGGAGACTTTCCTTGTGGAGTGTGGT